TTGATTCGTGTAAATGGTAGTAGAGACGAAACGTCGTTGGCAACAAGCCGTTAAACCTAATTTTGGATGACAATTTAGTGTGCACAGTACTAGACTTTAGAGACCCATATTTAAGAAGAGATTAATCATAGTAGTCAGATTACTGGATTTCATGACTGATGGTCAAGTTGAAGTTTATAAACCAGGACTACAAACGAAGATCTTGCAGCGATTCCACTCACAAAGTGTACCATAGTCACCCACAATTTTCAGGAAAAAACTGCTGGAAAAGTACCCGATGTCCAGAAGACATGATTATTTATTTAAACAAATAAAAAAACTACTCCAGAAGGATCCTAGCTCTAAAGAGCATCTCCTTCCCTTTGCTGAAGTTCCTCCCTTCAATTTCATTTTTGTATAATCTGAGCTTTCCTTTCTCCTTCGTAAATAAATAGTGACTCCGAAGAAGAATCTCTTACAACATGCATATTGCATCATTCCTCCTGAAATTCCCAGTTGCTCAAGTCATTTACGACTTACTCCACATGCTAGATCTGAGAGGAATGTTTGCATAAGGCGGAACGCATGACCCAAAACCTGAATCATGAACAAGCGCACTCCGAGAAATAGTTTAGATCTAAAAGTACTTTTCCCCAAAGTCATTACAGATAATACTTTTCTAGGTCCTGAATGGGGATACCTCTATGTACCAAAAAATATAGATGACAATTTGGAACCACACGAGTTTATCCAAATGCACAAACTTCAACGAAGCAATTACGTGAATGCAACCATCCGGAATACTTAAAAATACTGATTAATTTCTTTTCAAACACACGCACAAATCCCGAAACTCCAACACTGCAAACATCATTGTTGTCGAAAACTAATTGATTTGACCACGTATCACCACCGACATGCCAACTCGTCTTACTATTTTAACGTCACCTACTACCGAATGTAACTCAAGTGTACGAACACTTAAGATCTTGCAAGACCATCGCTCAGCGATGTTTCATAACCAAACTAACCAATATGCAACTAATCCTCCAACACATCATTTGCCGTACGCAAGTACCAATCCTCTCAGGAACTCCTGCTTCCTTCTCTTCATAGTAAATGACATATAAGTTGTTAATTGTTATCTCTGTTCCCCACATGACGACTTTTTTTGAACGTAGAAATCAAATCAGTAATGGTAAAATGGGTAGAAAAGCAAGACGAAGGTATTATGAGACTGCGAAGTAAGGCAAGTAAGTATATGTGGTTATATATAGTCACTACAAGAGATTTGTGTTCAAAGTCAACAACAATGAATGTTACACTATTATTCAACCCGATGCATTTACTTAAATATACTGAAAACTGAAAACAAGTGACACAAGTTTCTTCGACATGATTACTGATAATAATTTTTATGGTAATGAGATTTAGCTATTATTAAAGGCACAGCAAAACTGTAACTATTGACAGTTCCCACGCTGCTGAGATCAATGACGAAAGACGAAAGACCAGAATGATCATGTTTAAGAAAGACGAAGTTGAACAGTAAACCCGTTTGAAGGCAAATATTATCCTTGTCCACTGTACAATTATACTGAACACTCCCGATTTGAACCTGAAATGCTTATATTAAATAGTTCAATCATGACAAATTTTGTCGTAATTTTCCTAACAAAATATGTTATTTTTCTCCAAAGCTGACTTACAATTTTTTACAAATTTTTAAACTACATAAATCAGTTTTTGAGGAAAATCCCACAATATATGTGAGTAAATCCCACAGAGAATCAGAAAACTGAAATTTACAAACAACAAATATATTTTCAAAAAAAAAAATTCAGTGAAGGCAAAGAAATATTCTCGAATAACTACTATTATTGGCTGCCAGACATGAGAGTCACGAAGATTATTATCCTACAAACAAATTAAAGCATAGCTAGCTTAATTTTTGCAAAAGTTATGTACAGCATTTTGTAACACCGAAAATCCATGTCATTTGGAAACAACAAAATTAAGTAGAAAACAAATATGACCAAATATAGCAAAAAATCGCTCACCTCCATAATACAATTAAACGCGCTGAAATGGTTCAGAGATATCACAGACAATTTTTTTTTGAAAATATTTTATTAGTTAAAAAGAATTAGAAAAACCAACAGACAGATAATCACAATGAGAACATTAAACGACTTTTTAATAAAAATTTATATTTAAAACAAGAAAAATGACGATGTTGCTTTGCATCCATCTGAAGCCAAAATATCAAACCACTGCAATGCCAGTATGATATATCACCATCTCGAAAGAGTAATGTAAACTGACTTCCATTCGTTACATTTCAACATCATCCAGCATTCACAACGCCTATATCGAAAATAATTCATTACGAAATCAAAAGTATATTCAACGATAATACAACAAAATCATAGTATATTAACCAAATCAAATAAATATAGAACTGCATAAAAACATACGTTTTTGCATTTTGATGCATATAAAAAAACAAAATACGCTTAACGATAGCCGTACCCAGAATTCTGGAGATATTGCAATCATACATTTATTAATCAGCTAACTACTAGCCGTAGCAGGAATAATACAACGACTGTGCATGTCACTCAAGTTTACATAGCAATTCTCACTGAATGATTTTTGTCTTCCTTTGACAAAACATTTCCAAAAAATCTACCGTAGTAGCAATTTAGAACTCAAAGACTTTAAACAAAGCTTTGACAACAGATTCCAGTGATAAGCGAGAGATAACAACACATATCGTTACACTTATTGTTTTAAATAATCTCAAAATGAAGTGTTCTGATACACTTTGCCCCAGATGTTTTACAGATTATTTTCAATAAAGGGAGAGAAGCTTATATTGATTTACACAACTAAAACTGCTAAAAGACTATGTTAATGCGAAACATGGGTTAAATATTAGAGGAACAATAGTGTAAGCATCACGATATTCCGAAAATCGAAAACTGAGACTTGAAAACAAAAATTAGTAGAGCTTACGAAATAAAGGAATAAAACAAGTTGCAATTTAGAGATTCGAACAGAGAAAATTTAGAGAACTCAACATAGGAATATCCTTGAATAAAAAAATTCGTAAGACTATTGATCGAGACGATAAATAAAATAACAGTAATGTGTTTCAAAAAATACAATACGAGGTTTAGGAGCAGTTATTAAAATATAAAATTAAAAGAAATATTGAGAAACCACGGAAAGGGCTCACCTTAATTCTAGTTGCGACATGAACACAAAAGCGATGATGCGACAAAGAAATGAACTTGTCCCTACTCACATGATCGCCATGAAAACGTAAAAAAGGAAAAGTGATAAGACATGTTGGAAAACATGTATTTAGGAGTGTTTATAAAGAGTATAGACAGTACGACATTTGGAATATTTCTGATCTATACATAAAGACAAATAAATATCGATGAACTGATTTCGATTTAGTCCGACAATTCATCCAAAAATCTCAAAATCAAAATCTACTTAGCGCAATTATACCTACATAAATCGGGAAGAAGTAGCAGAGAAAAGTTTCCGAAGACTTACTGTGATAAATATTACACTTCAATAATATATCCAAATAGGGAAAATCAAGGATCTAAGAGAAGGAAACAGTACTGAAACAGCAGTTACTATTTACACTGTGTAAGACAAAACTTTCATATATTATAGCTTGATAGTGTATGCAACTGTCAGAAACAAATCATCAAAAATTTTACAAGTAGAGAAATCTTGGACTTATGGGTTCAAAGATTGAATTCATATTCCACAAGAGGACGATGAATCTAGAAACAGACAAAACTATTCCAATTTCATAAATTTCAATACACATCATAATTCGGTTTGGAAACGAGAATTCAATATCATAAACAATGAGGTAAGTTAAAAATAACATACCTGATTTATTGCATATCGGTTCCAGAGAAACGCACAAAACATCGAGTGTCCAAATTGAAAACAATGAAATAGGAGATACAAATAATAACAAGAAGCGTTACGTTAATCGTTAAAAGAATGCGAAAACAAGTGTGTTCTAATTTCCATGATAAAAAGTTATGGAACGTTTAACAATTAATACGCACGTCGACCTGAAGAAGAATGCCGAGGCGAATAATCATATCGTTCTCTTGAACGCGACCGACTTCGAGATGAGCGACGATGTCGCTTACGAGACCGTTCAGATGGCGAACGCGAACGATCACGATTCGATCGGTGCTTACGTGATGAAGAATTGTATGATTTACTTTCGATTCCGTTTAAGGTATCCTATAAGTTAAAAAAGACATAGAGAATTACCAAAATTCTGTAGCAAAAGTAATTCCGATCATTCCGAAAAGTAGACTACCTGTAATGAAGAGATAAGAACTTTGCACCGATCATCATTAGCAACTCGACTCTGTCGAATAAGCGATATAGCCGTCACCAATGTTTCAATGGCAGATGCGTAATCATTTGCTGCAGCATCGCTTACAGCACGTGTTATCGCTGACGATGAGACTGTACGATTACGACTCATTATTTCTTCGAATTCGGCTTCCGACATCCCTTCGATAGTACAGCTCACTGAAGTTGGCCCTGCAGACTTATAAGATAAATTCAATGGATTGATTAACATCTCTGGTTAATCAATTAGAACACTTCACGCTAACGGAATTTTTACACTATTAAAAGTTAGTCAAGATAAAAACTTATCTACCTGCTCCGTAATTTTGACGATATACTTGAGGATTGATGTGTGCTCCTGGTGGAGGAAAAGAATGAGGAGGATGTGATGTTGGAGGGGCACCAGGTGGAGCCATTCCTGTCACAGACTGGCTTGTGTTAGATGGACCTGCTGGAGCAGCCGAAGACATTGGTGGAAGAGTCTGTGGAGGCTGACCAAAACCAGGAGGTGGTCGATTCATTGGTGGTGCACCTGGTGGAGGTGCTCCAGCTACAAAGCATCAAAATATTCAAGATCACGAACAAATTTTCATATCGAGTTTGCAGACAACGTGGTTTTCCAATGTGTATATAATGACTTCTCACCTGATAACTGTACTTGTGGTATGTTTGGAGGAGGAGCACTTAGATTGATTGGTGGTCGAGCTACACTAAGCGCGCCAAGCGGAAGAGGTTGAGAAGTTGGGGGAGGGCCACGCATCTGAGGAGGTTGTTGATTGGGAGGCAACATCAATGAAACAGGAGCAGGAGGACGTAATGAAGGTATTGGTGGAGGTACCTAAAAGGTCGACAAAGAAATTTCATATTCCATAATTAAAGTTTCTGCCAGAAGGTTACATTTGGAAAAGTATATCATTTCATATATTGTTTGATTTATAATAAAAGTACCTCAAAAGTCCGGGTTAGAACAGTTTGAATGTCAAGATCTGCAGACCACCAAATTTAGATGGATCTATTACTCTTGTTATTATGAAATGTGTTTATACCTGGACTTGTGGTCGTAGTGGTACAGGTGGTGGCAAAGTCATCTGTCCTGGTTGTATTGATTGTTGCGGTGGCATCCCAATTCGAATAGTACCAACAAATGGCGTCTTCTGGTCATCTTTCTTAGAATCCTTCTTGTCATTTCTCTATATAAATAAACACATGCAAAACTGACTTGGATAAAAAATTAAGAATTTTTTGCTATCTAAATATTATAAGAATCTACTTGATCAACTCGTCTGGTTGCATCTTCGAATTTAGCCAAGGACGCTTTTGTATATGGAAGAACAACGAGTTGTTGTCCATGAAGAATCTTTTGTGGCAGCTTCTCCATTACAGTTTTGACTGAGCTTTCAGCAGTGAAAACTGCTAAAGCGAAGCCTTTACTTTGACCATTATTCCGATTCTCATAAAACTTAATATCGATTAAATTTGTGGCGCCACAAGACAATATCATAGTTTGCAAATCGACATCCGTTGTCCACCAAGTCATGTTTCCTGAAGACAGATCTGCTACAGATTAAAAGATTTTAATGTAGTGCAAAAGTACGTTCAAAAAGAACGTATTTGGTATCAAAACAAAATTTTATGCAATGAACTATGACTATAGTCATTTAACTGATAGCCATGCCATTCAGTAAACGATACATTAGTAAAAAAAAAATACCGATATAACAGCAGTATCTTCGTCCACCATTGTTCTGATTAATACCAAGTGCTGGTAAAGGTTTAGATTGACTGCCCACTGTGGTAGAGGAAATACTTGATTTCACAGGTGATGGCTCCATCTTGCTAGACTGTCCTGATGGCTCAATAGCAGCATCATATAAATCTGTATCGTTCACTTCCGATTTTACAATCTTAGCATCAGTTGCTGTACCATTTTTCGATGAATTAATATCATGCCCATCTCTACAAAAAATGATTTATCATAAAAAATAGATTTTCACCTAGTCTATGCTCTCAGTATGTTTGAATCAAAAGTTAATTGTCCATTATAGATACACAACTTCATAGCTTTTTCCATCTCAATACGCAACAAAATTTTGAAGTACTTGATATACAATATAGACAACGTGGAAGACAATTTTTCTTCTACCTTGCAGCACGTATAGCCTACAGCTCATCAAGTCGGAAAATAATCTAAAAAAAACAATGGGATGTCTATGAATGAAAATAAATCTTACCTTCCATTCAAATTTATATAAACATTTTTTTTGGACCGTATAATA